GGGGACTAGAACAAGGGTGAGTCAGCAGGCACACACAGGCAGCATTATCCTCTCTGGTGTCTCACACACCCTGGGGTGGCCCTCCCTCACGCCTCTGCAAACTCTGGCTTACCCACTTCAGGAGAGGAGGAGTCCTTCACAGGCAATGCCCTTCAGAGGCCAAGAAAACAGAGGCTGTTAAACGTATCCAGAAACACAACAGGCCCAGTGTTGGGAAGGATGGGAGACCAAAAATACACTTACAAACTCCTAAACAATATTTTTAGGGAGCAAGCTAAAAATAGGCATTAGAATTTTAGAAACTAGTCAACTAAGTAAAAACAAAATTCACATCCTTTTTGATCTGGTAATTTTATTTTGAGGTATTTACTTTAAGCTGGAAATGGTGGCGCACGCCTTTAATCTCTGAGGCAGAGGCAGGCGGATCTCTGAGTTGAGGCCAGCCTGGTCTACAGAGCGAGTTCCAGGAAAGCCAGGCTACATAGAGAAAACAAACAAAAAGATACATCTGTGAATCTCCCACCGAAGTGCTGGAATTGCAGATGCTCTGGCATTTCAAGTGGGGTCTGAAGGATCTGAACACAGGCCAGTCAGCCTTGAGCAGCATTGGCTCTGGTCTGTGGAACATTTTAGATTTGGGATTTTCAAATTACGGATACGCAGTCTATAGCAAAATTTAAGCATAACATCCTAGGGTGGCATTAGCTAACTGACCAGGCTCTCAGCCGGAGTGGATTCTGATGGCTTATCATTTTGGAAGGTGCTTGGAGGAAGTTGTCCAGAAAAGATAGTGTCACCTGTTTAGTCTTTAGCTGGTCCTTGCATAGGACAGGACGGCTCATCCAGCTTCCAGAATCCCTGAGTCTTGGGCACCCCTCAAGTGCATCTCAAATATCATAAAACAGTAACAAATTCCTAGAGACACATTCAGGTTCATGTTTGCTTCAACTTGGAAGGTTGTTCTGAAGCTAACATTTGAGGTGGGAATGTGTGCTGCCCCGCCCCCCCCCACACACACAATGGAATGTCTATATGCAATTACTAAGACTTCTGGTACTTAGCTCACAGCATACCCCAACCGTTCCTAAAACCTCAACCAATTTAAACTACCTTAACAGTTTCCAGTACCCAAGTTCTACCCATCTTCTGCCGAGGATTTTCCCATAAACTATTCATTTTAATTTTGTTAATTCTAAACAATCAATTTCATTTTTTTTTTCTCTTGCAGAGACCTGAGTTTGGTTCCCAGCACTCACACAGCAGCTCATAACCATCTGCAGCTCCAGTTCCAGGGAATCTAATGCCCTCTTCTGGCCTCCACAGGCACCAGGCATGCATGCAATGCACTTATATGCATGCAGTCAAAATACGCATACACATAAAATAAATATAAACAAAATTTTAAAGCATTATTTTTTAAATATTCTTTTTTTAAAATTTTATTTATTTTTATTTTGTGTACATTGGTGTTTTGCCTGCATGCCTATCTGTGTGAGGGTGTCAGATCCTCTGCAACTAGAGTTACAGACAGTTGTGAGCTGCCATGTGGATGCTGGAAATTGAACCCAGGTCCTCTGAAAGAGCAGTCAGTGCTCTTAACCACTGAGCCATCTCTCCAGCCCCTTTAAATATTCTTTTAATGCCTCATTATGTAGACATAGCTAAGAAAACATTAAGAAATAAATAACTGAGCAGACAAAGGTTTAAAACCATACTTGGAGGCTGGGGAGATAGCTCAGTGGTATCTGAGCATCTGCCACACATGTATGCGGACCTGAGTCTGGCTTCCCAGAACCCATGTAAAAGCTGGGTACAGTAGCACATGTCAGCAATCCCACATTCCTATGGAGAAAAAGGAAGCAGAGGCAGGAGAACGTCCAGAAGTTGGTGGGCCAGCTAGGCTGATGTGTGCAGAGACAATGTCAACAGAGACACTGCCTCACACAAGGAGAAAGGCAGACAGACACCTGACGTTGTCTTCTGACCTACACCCCCACACACACCTACAGTGGCATTGCACCCACATTCCCCCCGCGACACACACTGTGGCCTATGCACCCACACGCACCGTCCCCCATGTTCCCATCCATTTTGCTTGCCGCAGCGTCCACACAGGGAGACTTGCTGCAGTCCTCTGTCGGGTCAGTCTGGGTTTTACCTCGGGGAAGCCTCCTAGCCAGCCACACCGGGATGCCTTGCAGAGGCTCCAGGGGAGGGGCTGGACTTGAAGCTGAGGAGAGAGACATCCTCTCTTAGGGAACTGCTTCTCTTCCTTTTT